TGGTATGTCATGCTAATCTTGAGGAAAATAAACTTTCGTCTTTATGTACCTACCTCCATTACTCTTATTTTGCCTCAAAACTGTTCAATCAGTTCTGCCCCACCCTGTATAAGCTAGCTAACACATTTAAATTGTATATAGTAATCAATATATAACAAATAGTCAAATAGTTAAAGACTACTTAAAGCCTTATAAGAATTAGCTAAGCTGCTAGCTATGTAAAATGTATTGCACACTTGATGCCTCTGTACCAAAAACATTCCATTCATTGGAACCTAATACACACTAAAGGCAACAAGTTTATATACCAATTTGTCATTCATAGAATCATAGTACCTACATTTATACTAAACCATGAATTACAATACCTCAATATAAATGAAAGACTGCCACTCAATATATTTAAATATATGAAAAAATAAAAAATAAAAACGAAAAAATAAAAAAAATCATGATTTTTTTTTAAAAAAATCAAGTGATTTAATCACACGATTTAATCATTTTGATTTAATCATTGCCAACCCTGCACAAGACAATGAATATGATGTGTGTAATCCACTCACTGTTAGTTTTAAAACAGATAATAATAATGTAGGAAATTTGTTTCATCTTCATTCAAGTAGTTTCCAGCAACAGCAACATTTAAAACTGATATGAGGGAATAAATTCTTACATTGCAGAAACTTAAATCTGAAATGTTTTCCCAAAAATTGTGAATGCAGACCAGGAAAGGATATTTCAATCACATAAAAGGATTTAAATTTACAAATAAAAAATTATCCAAAAAAGGGAGGGGTTGTTTAGTTTATTTCTTTTATCTTTTGCAAAATCATATAAATGTTCCTACATTATATAAAATAAAATACCCACCCTCAGATTAACAATTTCTTGTGCTTCTTCAACAACATCCAGGCATTTTTGTCGGGCATCTTCATTTTCCAGCACTTTATATGCCTTGGTCAGCTCTGCAAAATATAAAAGAATTTCAATGTGCAGCCATTCCTCTAAGACATGATAATACAGATTATTACCTACCACTCTTGATCACAGCTCTGCACACAAACTCAGGAAGATATAACAAATAACTGTCATCATTTTTCAATAGAGCAACTAAATAATATCAGATTACCTACCACTCTTGATCACAGCTCTGCACACAAACTCAGGAAGATATAACAAATAACTGTCAACATTTTTCAATAGAGCAACTAAATATATCATCATACAGAATATTAGGTTAGAGCAAAGGCTGATGAAGTAACAAACTCCAAAAGTAATTTATTACCATTATTACATTTTAATACCTATGTGAAATGAATGCTAACCGTCAAAAGCTCTCTGAGCTCTTTCGCTGTCATCTTGATTCTTGTCAGGATGCACCAAGATGGACAACTGTGGAAACAAAGCTAATTTAGTGTGTTATCACTGGACAGACCTAGGTATCTTGCAGCATAATTTCATGATCATGTGTTAAAACTTTATAAATAAAGATTTACAAAGAGAACAAAAAAGAAAAATTTTGCAACATTTTGATAACATCAATCCTTATGAGTATGACTATGTCACATGAAAAAAACAAATTAGTCAGTGGTTCATATATGTTTGTTTGTGAATTTATGTTATTTACAATTATCATGTTGAATACTTTTATACCAAGTAAAAAAAATATTTGATACAAACCCTTTTATATTTCTTTTTAATTTCTGGCAGCGACTTGGTAGGCTCAATTTGTAGCACTTGAAAAGGATTGAGGTTGGCATACGAGGCTCCAGGTCGGAGAAGTCTATCAATTTGTTGCTTGGACGTCAGGCATGAATCTTTCTTCTCAGTTTCTTTCAACTGCAAGAGATAAATTATTTTGAAAATGTGAAACCTCAATAAAAATGACAGCATACAAAAAAAGTACCTATAGCTAAGTTTCAAAACAACAAAAGAACATCAAAGCACAGACACAGTCATTTTAATTTAGTCACATTTCGACTTTGTTCAATAGTCGTGTGTGCACAAAATAATTTTTTGTGCTCATATCTACTTATTATTAATAGAAACTTATTCCAACCATCTTTAATTCATGCACACTTGCAAATCCCAAATAGGTAGATAGATGATACTTCAAAAGTATATGAACGTCATTGATGATAAATAGGTAATTCTTTACACACATTCAATATTTTTCATCCAGAACCGAGTCTGAAGACATATTTATATAGGCATGTTTACCGTGTACCTACGAATTAACTCACATCAGTGTAGAATGACTGAAAATTGTCCTCGTGACCCCCAGAAGATGACGCTGCTACGGAATCCATAGAAATTTGGTTGATGTGACAAAATTTCAGTCAAATGATGATCTTTTAGCTTAACGCTACAGAATTAATAGCAAACACAAATTCGTCTTTAGTCCAATTTCTGAGGACTTGGTTCTTCACCACTCGCGCACGGGACGGCGGGCAGCGAACAAAAATCAAGCTCAAACTTCCTGGCTTCCAGCCTCGAACTGAACCTCAAAGGTTCAGTTGTATGTGGTTACTAAGAGAAGTAGCGGAGAGGTGGCAGCAATCATAGGAGTCCATAGTCCACGGGACACAGCAGAGAGATTATTAATGAGGTTTAATCGTAAGTCTTTTTAATATACGTCATTATATTCATAGGAGCAGCCAAATTAAATTATGATAATTGGTGTAATTTCCATAATATGTTTTCTAACTTGGAAAGAAGTTTTTCTAAAAAATCGGCAGTATTTGACTGATCATTACGGAACGTAGCTAGGTATATTTTACATCCTTTTGCAGGCGTTCAGGTACTAATAGTCGTCAAGGGAAAGCAGCCGGGCACCACAAATTTTGTACACCAATAAGCCCTGAATCGAACGCCTTGGATCTTTCCGGACATCCACCAATCAGCCGTGGATGGAATCTGCTATCCGTAACCTATCATTGACATCCTTCTGCTTTGAATATTTTGAGCTCCACACCCCCCAGACACGAGGTCGAATAGCCTAGGGTCGAATGGCCGTCCACCACTGAACGTTGCGTCGAAGCATCACTTCATACCCTGGCCACCGCTCGAATTGCAACTTGCGCGCAACAGCCTGCGACCACTTGGAGTCCGAGTGGTGTACAATTTTTTCGCGGTACGGCGGACGTCGCTAGGCCATTCGATCGCCGGCTGTTTCCCCTGAGGGCTGATTGGTCTAATTCAATTGATTCGTTCTGTCTGGTGGCTTTCGGCTGCCTATATGATTTTCCAGAAGTGTTGAAGGCTACGTTCCGGAGGGCAGGAGTCATGAGAGTCCATTACATCCAGGGCAGTGGTGGTCTTCGGCAGGCTTCCCATAGTCAAAATGAGAATGAGTTAGCAATTTGTAATTAACGATCTAACATTTGGTATTTTGAGGTATGATTACCAGAAGAATACTCAACAATAATACTGAGGGATTTATACCAAAAAAATCCCAATTCATGGCTTATCAGGAGTAATAATAATGTAACTCAGTACTGAACGAAAACGTGAAGTCACGGACGGACAGACAGACGGACATGGCGAGCACAATAGTGAATTTTCTCCATAAATGAGAAAATGCGCTAAAAACAGTTAGATCTGTTTGTTTCCATCATAATTGTAGTGTTACGAGCTTACAAACATTCACAATTAATATTTTGTATCAGGAATCTTGATTTGCCATGAATTAATGATGCTGATTACCAAAAATAGGACCTATGAATGACTCCAGATTGCTTACTGTCGAGTCTATCGGTGTCAGGTAAGGTGTATTATTTTTATATGCCCTACGAATGGATATTTCTTCAAGAATCAAGGTGTACAGATTCCACACAACTCCAAAATCACCCGCTAACTTGCCAGCAGATTCTAACAGAAAAGACAATTTTTTCGCAACTAAACGGGTCGCCTGCCGAAGACCACTACTGCCCTGGATGTAATGGACCATCATGATTCCTGCCGTCCGGAACGTAGCCTTCATCACTTCAAGCCGTCCGTATCTAGGCCGTGGGTCGAACCAGCCCTCGGTCGAACGGTCACTTGTGTGACTTGTCGAAGGACGATAAATTTTGGAACAAAACTATGCTGTCTGAAGCCTAACCTCAGATGCGAAGAACGTAAAATTACGTAATTTAACGATGCCCGGTAGTCAGATTCGATCCGGGGCCTGGTGGTGCAAGGCAGGTTCTATGCGAGGCCGGAGGAAGTCAAAGCCGAGTGGTTCAGGGCTGATTGGTGGATGTCCGGAGAGATCCAAAGGGGTTCGATTCAGGGCTTATTGGTGCACAATATTGGTGGTGCACGGCTGCGCTCCCAACTAAACAGCTCATAATCTCCCAATTCTGATCTGACGATTCATACCGCACTGCCCTGCCATTAATTAGCTATACGTCATATTTCATGAATATTGAGTTAAGTTGATTTATTTTAAAAAATCTGCAATAATTCCCTATCGGGGAGCGCAGCCGTGCACCGCCAATTTGTGCACCAATAAGCCCTGAATCGAACGCCTTGGAATTCTAAGGCTACGTTCCGGAAGGCAGGAATCATGATGGTCCATTATATCCAGGGCAGTGGTGGTCTTCGGCAGGCGACCCCCCTACCGCGGCGCATTGCCAAGAATCAGTTATGTTCTATATCTCACGCAAATCCATTCAGAAGTTAGGGACTTATAAGTTGTTCATTTGCGTGAATCTAAGATGAAAAACTACCCCAAATGAAGTTCCAATTTAAACATTTATAGTTATTTAGCAATTGAAAAAGTTAGGCACAAAAACGAAAAAATGGCATCAAAACGCATAACTTTGATTTAGATCTAAACTTTTTTTAGTAGTTTCTTATGGCAATATATCATGACTTCATATACAACACTTTTCTTAAAATTTTTGACTCAATAATTATCAAGATTCTCTATATTAAAGTGCCTGTTGCAGATTTTTGTATGTAAGTTGTCATGAAGTAATAAACATTGATGCATACAGCACAGTCGTTGATTTTAACTACTTCGCCCGTGGTCCACTCGCTCTTTTCAAGTCATTAGTTTCGTTATCTCGTGCAACGACTCATGCCGTTATCTATCAAATGAAAGTATCATTATTAAAGACCTGTAAAAGTAGGTTTAGGTGATACTAACTACACAACAGCATTAATTGGTACAGTAGTAAGTGTCTGTATAGAGTCTTCTGGAAGACTTCACGCGGAGTTAGCACGAACACATAAGTGGCAGGCAGTGCTCACGTCGCGTGGTTGGTATCGTGCGCAATAGCAATCGTCTGCTAATGGATCGCAATGGTCATCGACACACGGCGACGGAAAGCACCTTTTAATGATGGACCCCAAATTACACAGCTCTCTAACTCGCTAGTCCGACCATCACGCCATCGCATGCTCACTCGCACGTGTAAAGTTTGGTGCTCATGCTTAGCACCTTAAAGTACTTCTTTGCTGGGCTTTAGGAAGTTTAATTCCATTTAATGTAAAGACTTATTAATACTGATAAACGAATAATTTTTTACGTGTTAATTCAAACAAGTTTCAGGCCGCTTATGAACCTATACTAAATACCTGCTAAATTAATTGTGCCCTAGATAAATACATTTCACTGAATTTTTCCAATATTATTATGATTTAATCCAATGATGATAAGCTGAAATCAAAAATGAAGTCACTTGGAATTCGATTGGAAAGCTGCACTTTAATTGGATCAAGTCATAAACTCGTCACAACATGAAATTCTTGCCATGTATCTGATGCCTGAAAGTCTCAAAAAAGTCGGACTCTCTAACAAACCTAATTTAAAATAATTTACATTCCGTTGAAAGTTCAATTTTGGACGCCTAGAACGCATTCCTCGGGAGCACGTCTTCAATTTGCTGGCTGAAATTGTTATGTTTTGTAATAAGACTTAAAGTTCTGTTCGATGCTCGATGAATTCAGCAAGATATTTGAAGTGGTACAAGTTCAATTGAAGCACTCACGCATGGCACATTCTTCCACACGCAAGTTCCACACTCTCACACGCCCCACACTCTCACACGCCCCACGCTCCCACACGCCCCATACTCCCACACGCCCCACACCCTTCCACACGCACGGCCCACACTACCACACGCACGCCCCACACTCAAACACGCACGCCCCACACTCTTCCACACGCACGCCCCACACTCTTCCACACGCACGCCCCACACTTCCCCACACTCCCACACGCCCCACACCTCCACACGCTCCACACTCCCACACTCCAATGCAGAACTAAGAGCTCTCTGCACTAAGTGTCTCCATGGCTACCGACTTATTAAAAATTTATGGTCGGCTTTACGACGTCCAAACAATGGCCGCAGATAAGCCGACCAACGATTAGTTCGATGGCTGTTGGGGCGGACGCATTGCATTAGCGCACCCGACATTCAACAGAATTTTTAAAGTAATTTGTTTGCTCGTCGCCAGTCTCGATGCTAAGAAAATTGTTCCAGAAATCAACCTTGTGATTGAGCGAGCAAATCTTGCTCATAATTACAAATGTCACGTGATGGCTTTCTGTTCCTAGAATGTGATTCAAGGTTTGTACAGGTAGCGACAAAATAATTTGCTATTTTAAAAACTTCGTTAAATTAAGTTTTACAAATTAGGGTAAATAATATTAACTCCAGTCTTCTGTTGAGGAATGTTTTACTCACATGTTCTTGAAATTTTTCTTGTTATTTTTAATTTATTCTTAATCAACTGTGAAAATTTTTCACAACTTTCATCAATTATGCTTTAATTATTAGTCGTCTTCTTTTCATATTTATGAAGGACGTTCCAGTAATTGAATTTAAACAAATCACTGGATCAGAATAACCATTGCTAGTTAACTAATAATATTTTAGAATTTATTGCAGTTTCCACTCACAAATGAAATGTCCTAGTTTATTGGCAAATTTTTGCTGCAGAGAATGAGTCTGAATTGAATGCTAACAGCATGCAGCCGTGGAGAGGAGATTCGTATTTGTTCAAAATTTCTAGTTTGCGCTAAGCTAAAAATTTTTTAATTCGTAATGTCATTAAAATTAAGTCATTCAGTAGACGCAGTAGAGCCCAATGCAAATTTCAACCCAACAGGCGAACTCTTCAGCTGCAGGCGAATTCTGCAGCTGCCCGTGAACCAACAGACGAATCCTGCAGCTGCAGGTGAACCCAACAGGCGAACCCAACAGGCGAACCCTGCAGCTGCAGGTGAACCCGACAGGCGAAGCCTGCAGCTGCAGGTGAACCCAACAGGCGAAGCCTGCAGCTGCAGGTGAACCCAACAATAATCACTTTTTCTTATATCAATGATCATCTTTAACTGACTTTGAAAAAAAATTAGATCAGTACTCACTGCAGTGGGTGACAGAGAGCGCATTTTCTCGTCTGTCCGTGATGTCACTGACAGACGGATGGACGGACGGACGGACGGACACGACGAGCACAATAGTGCCTTTTTAGCGCATTTTATCATTTATGGAATAAAGGCGCTAT